TAATAGGACCTTAGTATAGCATAACTGTGTCTCTGGGATTTCAGGCATAGGTTGAGGGGGTACTTGTGCATTATCCCTTGTTCTAGTGTTATTTTGATAAAACTAAATACTTCTTGCCCTTCCTTGATGACTTCAGTAAACTAGATTTACTTCTTTAAAGTATTTTTTGCTTTTAAAATTTTCAAAACACTCTAAAAAATAGACATTGGATATATATAAAATAGAGATTTAAGGTTCAATTGAGGAGGCAAATTCACTTCAATTTTTTTTAATAAATTTTGATAGTCTCATGAAATTCAACACCATCTTATATCTTACTCATCACAATAAAATAAATCAAGGAGAGTATGAAAGAATTGAAAGAAAGAATAGAACAATTTTTAGTATTAACTAGATTTTTGTTGAAAGCTAAATATATGTCAAAGGGATTTTTGCCAAGCTTTTCCTTTTACATTTTTGTGATTAATAGGTTTCCAACAATAACTATTAGAGGACAAAGTTAAACTGTTAACTTTGAGCTAAAATTAGTTTGGAGGTTCATCTACAATTAGAGTTAATTGTAGTTTATTTAATGGATGATTTAGTTTATTGTAAATTTAAACTTCTGGTTGATTTAGTGATGTTTTGAAAGAGAAATTGTTGAAGAGGGTCGTGTTTTTTACTCCTTTGAACAAGGAGGATTTTCACGTGAAAATTTATATGTTATATGTTTCAAACGTTATAAGTTGCTACATGAGTTAGTTGAATCAATACAAAGAACACGTTTCTTGTAATTAAGTTCAATTGATAAGGTGTTTTTATAGACAAATTTTAATAGGGCCAAATACATGAATAGATCTCTAAATTTGTTGGGTTTTTTCAATCAGGGTATCTCAACTATGCTATTTTCGTATTGAATCATTAAATTATTCATAATTTGTTCCTTTTAAATAATATTGACTAATGTGGAACTAGGTTTTGTGAGGGGTATTGGTAGAGGATACATATATTGTTCCAGAACTCATTAGTCCAATTGATAGTGAAACTGTTCGAGAATAATTGTGTTGTATTTCAAGTCATCTGAAAAAATTAGAAAACAAATGAGACTAACACTAAGTTTGTCTTCATTCCTTCAATCAAATCATTACAACACGAACACAATCGAAGGCTTTACAATAGAATAAAACCGATCAAAATCAACCAACAGTGTTTAAAAGGAACAAATTATAAGTGGTTCAATGATTCAATAAGAATGATGTTAACTTATGATATTCTGATTAATGAAAACTTGAAGGAATTAATAAGGAATAATACGAGCAGCCTGGAAGTCATGATAACATTACGGAAAACAACACAAAGCCGAAATAGAATCCCAGTCCGGATTAACGAAGCAAAACAGGAAAGGCATGAGGCTAAAGACTAAGGAAAAGAAATATTTGTAAATCAATCTACCAAGATTCAAGAGATTAATAAATCAACCAAAGATTTAAGAAAGATATTGAAGATCAGTCAAGATTCAAGGAGTTCATCTAACAAAGGAAAGAATTGATTTAATCATGCATATATCTTATATGGACATGATTCAACAAATCAATTCAAATAAATCAAGGAATCATCTAAGGATTCTTGATTTACAACTCCCTTGGGTTTTTGAAACAGGGCATCATCATTCACAGCTATTTATACCTGTCTCAGTCTTAGATGTGAAGCACACACTTCACTTGAACTTATATCGTAGTCTTCTTTTATCTTTCATAAAACTTTGTACACACTTGAGTGAATAATTGAAATGAAAAGAGAAAGAAACATCTGATTGTAGGATATACAGGTCGAGGTTGTGTCAAAGAAGAAGATCTGATTTGAATATCAGACGAAGCTGTTAATCGTAGCATTCTGTAACACCCAAGTTCTCAATAAACTCTTAAGGAAATCCTTGTAACCCAAGGGGACTGGATTAGACACCACATTGGTGATCCAAACCAGTATAAAACACTCTGTGTTATTTACTTACTACAAGTTATTATTACTGTTTTTCTGTTTTACTAACATGCAAATGAGTCAACTAACCAGAGTACGAAGTTGAGTGAAGGGATTTTAATTACACCCCCCCCCCTTCCTTGACTTTCAAATGACGTAGTTAAGGTACCCGAAGAAAAAAACCCAATACGTTTAGAAATCTGTAAAGAATTCTGCCTTTTAATAGGTCTAATATTTGTCAAGACACTATTCAACCCCCATCCCCTCTAGACCTTATAATGCAATCACACTCTCTAGATCCAATTGTTGTTTTTTTTGTTTATGTATTTCTAGTGTATTTAACTCACGTTAGGTCCACCCTACCATATCGAACTTGTACACATATTTTTTGTAAGGACTCGATCTTTAGAAGCATTTCCAAAGTGAGACTCTCTATCCTCCTTTGATCTTTAAACCAAATATTTTATATAGGATAGATAATTAGTGTTGTTCAAGATAAGCCAAGAAAAATAGAAATGAGGAAAAGGTTTGATGACTCCTCAATAATATCCTTATCTTTCGATTCTATCACATGCAATTTAAAAGGACCAAAATTGATGAAGCTATGATAAGATTAATTGCACACATTATCTACTTGTAAGTGCTAAACTTTTGATATAAAGTAATTGATTAGTGGTATGATTAATTGTGAACTGAGGTGTATTGATTAATAATCCTTGTGCATATCTTATTATCCTTTTGTTGTTCCTAGTAATGTCTAATAAATCACACAATCAATGTTTTTAAGGACTTAGTGAGTGTTGTTAATATACTCATCTATAAAATTCCTTTAAAAAGCAATTCACAAAAAATCTTCGAGTCAACATTTTTATAGGAATTAGTGAGACTATATGTTGTTGAGTTCAAATGACACAACATTGAGAATTTTTAACCAAACTAAGTTATTATATAAAACAATTTACCAAAGTAATATATTTTTCTAAAATTTTATAAAACTAGTATAAACGTATTT